TGAATGTGACGTGTTTTCCAGGGGTGTAAATGCCTTCACGCAGTCTTCGACTTTTGGCTTAGGTTCTGTTCATTCCCATGACACCCCAGAAATTAGCTTCTTCCATGCAGCTCCACCTGAGGTCACATCAACCTCAGCTGAGCGGCCCCAGATCAGCACAGGGAGAACATGGCAATTTGTCCTTCAATTTGCTATCGAGGGTGGGAGGCAAAAAGTTTAAGAAAATGAAAAATGGCAAAAAAATTTTTTTCCCCTTTTTTTTTTTTTCCTTTCTTATCACCTAGTCTAACCAGAGGTACAAAGGAGACCTGAGCCCCAGGGGCTATGGACCTTCCAGCCCAACTCACAAGCTACCTGCCAGCTATGCTGGGGATAAATGGGGAAGTGAAATGTTATCGCGCAACTCTCCCCAGGATGCCAAAGAACGTATGTGTCCCACACCGCGCTCCCAGCGTCCGCGCACCTTTTACACCACATGTAGCAGCCTCAGGCAGCCAGAGAGCTTGGCACCGCGGCTTTGCATTTCAGGACTTAATTGAAAAGTTTCTGTGAGCACATGCTTTTGCTTGCTCTCTGTCCCGGTGGTTTTCTTTCTTTCTTTACTTTCACCATAATGGTCTGTCCACTATTTTTGGTTGTTGTGTGCGTGTCACCAGACCTACCCAAGTGTGTGTTCCCTCTCATAAGGCTCTGCACAAGGAGTGACTGCACCTTTTAGTGATAAGCAATAGACCAGCAGTGGTTCAGTGGTTTTGGAGGAGATGTACAGAGGAGGTTCCGGGTAGTACAACAGCCAACAGAGCAGCTCTGAGGAGCTCGCTGGCTCACGTCACGGGCTCTCAGGCAGCCTGGGACAAGCAGGGCAAAAAGGTCATTTAGCATCACCTTAATCCTCCTTCCAGCTTGACCTTCCTCCTCCTCCCAAGGAGAGAGTTTCCTATCCCCACCAGCAGGTTTAAGTGTGTCTAAGCAACCACCCACATCCAGCTCAATCCCTTTCTCTCGCTTCCTTTGCTCTTGTCTCCTGCCACACATGCAGTGCCCACCTGGCCTGTTCCTTCAAGTGGTTTCAGAGAAACCCCAGCCAGCAGATCCGCCAAATACAAGATTCGCATCTCTCCCTCACCCTGCGTGTGCTACGCGGGGTCACAGAACGTGAGAAAGACTAGGAGCCCTGCTCATCTCATCTCCTTATCACACCCTGCATAGACCTGTGGCAAGCTGTCTCCCGAAGCCAAAACCGGGGTTCATCCCCTGTTCAGCTTCCGCAGACTCCTGGAAGCAGGAGCCCTTTTGGGACGACGGAAAGGCCCATAATACAAGCATCGTGGACACGTATCTGTTAATAACACTGAGTTATTCTCCACTGTCTTCAGGAGCTTCATGGAAAAAGTGATACTGGATGATGTGTCACTGGAGTTTTGTGAGTGTGCTGCTCACTCCCAGTTCATGCTTCCTGCCACTTCTATTTAGCTGCACAGCAAAAGCTGGAGCTCTGAGGACTTGGCTCAGCAAATCACTTATTAGAAGTGGCAGAGAGGACTGAAAAGTGGAAGGAGCAGGGCTACAGCTCAAAAACAAGACTCTAATTGTAGGTATTCACACAATTGGCCTTCCACATCAGGTGACAGCAAAAGGGCAATGGGAAGAAAATAAATGGCAACACAGAGGCACAGAAAAATGGGAACCTTGTTCTCAGAAACAGATAGTCAGGCCTCCCTGACCTCTGCTGTCTCATGTGGTCTGGGTTTTTTCCCCTCCCTGCTGCTAAGTTTGCAGGGCAATTTCCTTACTTCAATAGCCCAAAGGGAACTAAGTAACTCAAAACCAGGAAGACGACAAACTAAAGCAAAAACATGACAGCAACACCAGACATCAGGGAAAAGGGACCCTGTCTGTTGTCACCACTTGACAGCACCGGTGGAAGCAAAGACACTGCCAGATCAGGTTTTACACCACCCTTGAGCAAACTTCTGCTAGTCAGTGTTGCAGGCCTTTATGTCCTTTGAATGAGGTGTGATGAACAGGATAGGTTAGCAACACGAGAAACAAGATCGATCCCAATATAAATTTGTATATAAAATAGGTGAAAATATAGGTCCTTACTAGCACCTGCTACAGACACCAGTCACACAAAATGAATGTGTTCTTATCAAAATGTTCTCCTATTATTTTGCCCAAATATGAGACACTTTTCCCCGCAATAAGTGCTTCTGAACAAGAATTTTCCAGGCAGATTGATGGGCAGTTTTGCTCCTGCTGGCTAAAACCAAGTGCCTCTGCAGATCTGAGCTCTCCTTTTTCACTCCAGACCAATCCCTACTCAGTTAAACATGGACTGGGGAATACGTGCTTATTAAATGAGACAGCTCAGAGTCTGGTACATACCATGACAGAGAGTACACTTTTCTCTAGAAATTATACAGCTATATCAAGGCTGGTCAACATCAGAACCAGAGATTTCCCTTCTCCCAGGAACAGCAGCAGTTGTTCCAAGACTCTCCAATTAGCCTAATGGACGTTGCTGAAGCAATGAGGCCAAAGTCTCAGATGTGCAGTGCTTGTACCAAACCGTGCCCTTGTCCTGGGGACAGTCACGCTGCAAGAAACCCTTAAGCAGCTTTTTAGATTCAGTGATCGCTGTGTGGACGATGAGCATGTGGCTGTTATTTTGTGATTCCTCCTCTCCATCATTCTGGAGAAGAACTGCAGAAATCTAGGTTTCTCCCAAAGAGGAAGCGAGGTTTCAAAAGCTGAAGGAAGTTGAGAGTGTTGGCTTGGGAGGAAAGGGGAGATTCCCACAGTCTGCTCCAGCAGTCTGCCAGCCTCCAACACTGTGGTGGTCTTCCTTTCACATTTGTTCCTGACGGAAGTTCGAAGGTCAAAATGTCGTTGCTCAACCGATTGCTCCAAAAGCACTTAAGCTTGTTCTTTAAAACTAAAATACAGAAGTAAGCACTTTCCTTTGGTGTATTTACAGAGTTAATAAAAATGCTGAGCCACGTTTTGATCTTCCTTACATTTCGCCCGCAAACACATTAATTTAATAGGATTTTCATTCCCTACTCTCTACCTTGTGTCTTGTTTCCCCAGAACTTATTCATCAAATGGACGAGCTGAATGATGAGTTGCTAAAGAAGATCACAAACAACAAAATTCAGCCTCCCCAGAGGAATTTCAAAGTGGAAAAGCCTCAGGAAGTTTTTGTGCCCCTCACCTTCGAATCCAGCACTGAAGAAGTCAAAGCTTGGCTGGAGGCAAAGTCATTCAGCAAAGAGTAAGATCTGCTTTACTACCACATGAAACGCTGGTCCTTCATTTCAAAAGGAGTGGGGGAGGCAGCTTGCAACATTTCAGCTGGATTACAAGTCACTTGTATTTACTTATAGAGCCTGTGTTGCAAATTAGATTTCAATCATATGAAATCCAGGCTATATAATCAGTACATTCAGAGCCCAAACTTACTCCCTTTCTTTCTTATACACTATCAAATAAACCTCGTCTTACAGTGCAGCGAAAGACCTAATGAGTAGCTGCAAAGAAAGGAATGGTCTTGCTTATTCACACAACTCGCAGGCAAACGCTGCGAAACGTCCTACCGCCGATGCTTGTCTGGCCCCAGTTAGCCAGTTCAGAGGGCCGAACTTAGAGAAAAATAACTAATTAACTAACTAAACCCATGGCCTGAAATGCAAATTCCAGATGGCTGCCTGTCTCTGGAGAAGCTGTCGTAAAGTATCTCTGAGGAAGAGCCAGACCCTCAGCCGGGGCTAGCAAATCTTCCCAGCCACCAGGGAAGGATCAAAAAGCTGCATGTGGTTAAGGGTTACGAGTTACAACTCACACTCTGCACAACGAGCTAAGAGGAGCTCCAGGATTGCTCCCCAAATGCGATGCGACAGGAGTGAAATCACTGCAATACCCATGGGGCTGGGTACACACTGGATGCCAAGGTGTCGCTGGCTTCCCCCGCCCCTCATGGCTTGCTGCCATCCCCGCCAAGAGCTTGGGTTACCCGACAGCTGCCACCTTGGCACAGCCCCAGGGCCTTACGCGTGATACGGTCCTGCTGCAGGGGCTGCAGCCAGCTGCTCCTAGCCCCTTTATCTCTGACTCCTCACCTTTGGCCAGAGGCCACGTGTAGCACAATTATCATCTCCTCGCTTTGTGTCTTCCCAGGACAGTGGAACACCTTGGCATCCTTACTGGAGCTCAGCTCTTCTCCCTCAACAGAGAGGAGTTGAAGAAAGTGTGTGGTGATGAGGGAAACAGAGTATACAGTAAAATCACAGTGGAGAAAAACCAACTGGAGGTAAGTAGCTTTCTGGTCAGCTCCCACCTGAATGGGTGCCTGTACCAGCACTGTCAGAGATCCCATTAAATAGACATTTTAAGAAACACAATTTAAAAAAAAAAAAGGGGGGGCAAAAAAGAACCCCCAACCAAAACCCACACAACCAAAGAAACACACCACCTAAAAATGCTGAGAAGTCTTTTAAGCAAAAAGGCCCCAAATCTGTAAGGCAGATCACCCTATCTCCACTAATGAATCTGCCTTCTTACCGGTATAGCTCATCCCTTTGAAACTAGCTCTACTCTTACAGCATTAGTTAAATATTATAATTTAGCTACAGCTTGAAGTTAAAATTCAAACTTCCTGTTTTGTTTCCATTCCAGAAGAGCAGAGGGGAGTCAGAGCTCCAAGAAATCATGAAGCGTCGCCAGGAAAGGATTGATTCTGCTTATTAAAATCTATCTGCTTTATTTCAGCTATTAGTCATAGTAGTGCAGAAAAAGGGAATGAAAGCAATGATCCCCAGTCCAGACAAGAGACAGCAGTGCTCCACTTAGCAGTGTAATTGCCATCAAAGTGACAATTTCCTGAACACTGTTGATAAGGGTAGACAATAAGACCATGTCCCATTGGGAAAGGTGTTTTAACATTGCATGAAGTATTCTTTTTTTTATAACTATATATTTTATACTGAAATTTTATGTGCATGCGATCAGAGCAGATCAGAATTCACACGTGTCTGAATGTACGACAATGGCTGGATTCACGCAAAAAAGACCCCGCAAAGCTTTTCTCAGAGGGCTGTACCTGCTCCCACCCCCCTCGCCGGCATGGCTTGGGAAGAGAGGGCATGGCACACAGCACAGAACAAGCCAGCCTGGATGTTTAGAGTCTGGACCACAGAAATAAGTCTCTTCTCCCACTTTTCATTTCCTTCTTTGTGGCAGATACCCCTGCAGCCCACTACAGTTCCTTCCCACTAAAGGCCCTGCAACAGTTCACTGTGCTTTTTCTGTCCCCCCATGTCCCCTCGTTGGACAAGGCTAGAATTGCAACACACATTACCTAAGACTGGCTGCTTCCTTAAATACGTGTACCTGTCAGTGCTGTCTTCGAACAGTGGAAATGGGCTTTCATTGCATAATTACGAGCAGGATCCGAGTGACAACTGAAGTGATTTGAATCTGCAAATAGGTGAGCTCAGCCTGATCATCCCTGCTTACGCAGAAGCTGGGGCTCAGGGCAGCTGTGCAGCCCTTCACCTTGGCGCTGATCGGAAAGTTGCAGTATTGCCGAAGCCAGGCCTCAAACACGGAGACGGTAAGCCCCGACCATTTGCTCCCAACCCAGTCACATCCGAAGCCCTTCCCAGGGTGTTCATCACTCGTCCCCACCTTCACATTTTCATTGTGAAGAGTAATCTGAAATGCTTCCTAAATATCTAAGAAACAAAAGCACACTTGGAAAGGCTGTTTTAACACAGAATAAATGGCCACAAGAAAAAAAATAATAATCTAATTTAGTAGAGGCTGTTGTTCTTCGCTTCCTGTTTTTCTTAATAACATCATGTGCATATGTATATATCCATCTAGTGAAATACCCCCTCATTCTTACAGTCTATAAAAAGGGATGAGGAAAAGATCCCTTTCCCTAGAGACGTAATTGAGTGATTATGCATCAACAATTTACTCAAAGTTTTAAAAGCTCAAGCAAGCATATAGTAGATTTCCTGTCCACAGCAAGTTTGGCACACACTGTATTTATAGCTATATTTTACTTACAGACCAACTTGATAGGAATGCAGTACAGCAAACACATCTACAGGAACTGCTCACAGACCGGGAAGACTTTGTCTTTCTCTCTCATTCACACACCTTAACTTTGGCTGAATGGGAATTCAGGCCCAGGCTCCACAAAGACTTATGCATGTGCTTTCCTTTACGTGCTGTGAATGGTCGCACCTGCTTGAAAGGTGCCTAAGTCTTTGCACAATTTGGGCCTGTCCTTGCACATCTAATGGAAAAAAGCTGTACAGCTGTAAAGCAGTGGCTGGGGAACACGTGTCTAAACCTGAGACTACTGATGCACCTCTCAATTTTGGCTTTGTTCTTCCAAAAATGTTTCTAATGGATGATATAGTTTCTTAATGTTGAAATAGGACGTCGTTAGCACCAGCAGAATTAGGGTGCAGGCAGGGAACTTACAGAGGATGATCGTGTTTTTAGTCACAACCCTGCTGGCTTGCCACAGCGGCTGGAATTTGCAAAGGGCACTCACCTTGTCAGGGAGGGATGAAGAGGACAATCCTCCTGAGAAGCCCTGGCTCTGGATTAGGGTGGAGATGGGAAGCAGGTGTGAACACTGGCAAATCATTGGTGTTACAAGCACAGGAGGCTAAATCATTTCTAAAATGAAAATGAAAACAAATGGTGAGCTAGGAAATACGACACCATTCTTGTCTTCGGGTATAAAGGAAAACAAATCACACAGAATTGTAGTTACTTGGGACTATAATAGAAGTGTACACCACAGTTCTGTAAAGCCAGGAGCCACGGGAGCATTTCATAAAATAAATATATCAGTAGACCTTATTGCAGAAGTCACTTTTTAAAATTTCCATATGACTGAGCTGTGCATCTGTTGTATTTGTACTGCCTGCAGATAATGCTATAATGTACTGTACATTAATGTAATTGAACGAAGGATAAAATGATATAACCATGCACTGTATAAGATTTATTAAAATAGTTAAGTTATAACTCCACCTCTGTCTCTTTCACTTGGATATAAACTAAAGCAACAGGTCACAAAAACAGTTGTTAAGGGCCGGCTTTTCATAATGACCTGTCACTGTGAGTCTAAGATACACAGCAGAGCATCCAAAACCACACGTTTCCTTTTGTTTCTGGGGGACTGCCATTCAAAAGGAAGGAAGTCAGGGCCTTGATAATCATTCACATCTAAAAACAGGGCTAGGTGAAAATCCCACATATGATAGCAATCAAATGCTGGGAAAGCTACCAGCTGAATCCAAAACATCCCCTTTCTCGTCATCTTGAAGAACAAATTTCTCTTGCCTCTGGTACGTGCAACTGAGACAACACGCCAGCATTTACACACACGGATACTGTCCAAGACAAGGCTTTGCACTGGCAGGCTAAAAACGCCCAACCCTGGTCAATGCCAGCTAATGCAGGGCCGAGAACAAAGAGAAGGGAAGGGATGGACAAGGGAGGCTCTCTTATGCCTTGGCAAAGGACTCTGGAGGCAATGAGAATACATTTCCTACATAGTCACGGAATTCAAACAGGACTTAAACCTAACGCCTCTTTCCATTACCTTCTCCTTGGGTTGGACAAAACATGAGAAGTTGTACAAAAGCATATTCTTGTATGTCAGGAAGGGAAATTACTGTGGCAGCTTCCACAATCGAAACAATACAAGACAGAACGAGGGGAACAGCATGATCTGAAGAGCCTCTGTTTAAAGGCCAAGTGGCAGATTCTACAACACTTCCAGCCAAGTCCCATTCCCTATTTCAGAAGCACAACCCCGTTAACGGGATCGCCTTCTCTAGAGCTTAAATGAAGTTTAGGCGAACGAACAGCCGTAGGTGCCTTGCTGGGTTAGGGGGGGCTCCCCCTGGCACGGCAGCGCAGGCTGGGGCCCCGGCTGACAAGCCGTGTTGAGC